TGGGGAGGAAGTGGGAGGGGAGCTGCTGCATTGTAAATTTTGGTCAATGACATGAGACAAAGTATATGTGAACTGCTGTATGAAAAGTGAATTTACTCTGGAAATCTTCACCCAAATCCTAATTAAAAAAAATAAAAATAAAAATCTTCAATTTCTTCATTTTTGGTATTAGTAGTTGGTGCACAAATTTGAGTAACCATCTTAAGTGTTCAATATGTCATTAACTAGTCTTCCTTGTAAGTGTATGGATATTAACTAGCATAGTACAGGCTTTAATACATATTGGACATTACTGTCTGTACAACTAACCGTTTGGTTAGAAATAACCCAAAATGAAAACCAAAACCACTGCCACTGAGTCAATTCCAACTCATAACGATCCTGAAGAAGAAAGCACAACTGCCCAATAGGGTTTCCAAGGCTATAAATCTTTATGGAAACAGACTGCCTTATCTTTCTGCTGTCAGAGTGACTGATAGGTTTGAAAAGCCAACCTTTTGGTTAGCAGCCAATGCCTTAACTACTGCGCCAACAGAGCTCCTTTAGGAATACTAGCAACCTAATATTAGTAGATCATCAAGATTTTGTATTGTTAACTTATTCCTGGGCTTTGCGCTTGCTCTCAAGGTATCGGAGCCAACGTGGACGTTAAAAGGGAAACGTTCAGGTGAGGCCACTTTGTCATTTTGCTAAGGACCATGTACTCTCTTACAGTGTATATCACTTCAAGGACAGGCCAGTGTGGCAGAGCAGATGGCTATGTGCTAGAGTGCAAGGAGCTGGAGTTCTATATGAGGAAAATCAAGGCTCAGAAAGGCAAATAAACCCTCCTCCCTCCCATCTTAGTACATTTATGAAAGGTGTTTATGCTTAAAAAAAAAGAAAGAAAGAAACAAAGAAACAAAGAAAGACCAAACAAACCATGATTTTTCAAAGAAAAAGTTAAAAGCATAAAGTTACAAAGAAACTAAATTGTTCCAAAATTGAACAAGTCCTACCTTTAAAGTTTTGTAGGCAGTACTCATAGTGGTTACACGGTGATTGGAATGATTACCACCCAATTTACAGAGATGACAAACAGGCCTCTTACATAACTCACAGTACATGTTTATTCTCTCTGTTTCATGTTCTGGGCACATTAAAATCTATTAAGTAAAGAATAAAAAATGTTTAAGGCTCTTCATAGCTTACATGGCATTCAAACGGTTTCAAGTAATCTGATAAAATCCTAAATATAAAGATTTGCTTTATAAAAATCACTAAATAAAACCATTTAACTAAATAGAAATATGAAGAGAAATCAAAGTTTTTGATACATCACATGAAAATTCTCTATTAGAATTATTTTTAAGTAGTCCTCCTAGACTTCCTTTTTTAAAAAGGTGAAAATTTCGTTCCTATGACTCAAGTGGATCCAGCTAGAAAAGCCAATTTTCAATCAGTACATTTTTTCCATAATCAGTATTTGTATTTGGTACCAAAACAAATAACTTATGAGAACTCATGGCCTCACCAGCTCTCACTAAGTGAATCTTGGAACATTTCATGATACAGGGACAGATATGTTTAATTGTACAGATCTGGACCAAATTTAGAGCTGTGCCTTTTCTGCTTTGATTAAGTTGTTATCTTTTAATTTTCTCTATAAATTACCATCTCAGGTATATTTGACATTTTATGTAAAATAATTATTTTCATTCAGAAGAAAGGAAGGAATCCTTTAAACTAGCATGTCAATGAACCTAAAAAGTTGTGGTCTATGATTTCAATAGACCAGATTTTAAGCAACTGTAACTGGTCTGATAACTTGTAGATATTAAGCAACAACAACAACAAAAGTTTATTATAAAAAGTTCCAATATCAATGTTGAAGCCTAGAAGAGAGAAACGATTAGAAAAGATTTCAATTTTTCAGCATGCACAATTTGCTACATTCTCAAAGCATTCCATTTAAAATAAAATGTAAAATTTGGTTTTCTGCAAGAAATGATCAAAACTCAAAGACAAATATTTTACTGAACAGGGTACACTCTTCTAGAATTTTACAATACTAAATAACACTAAATACTTGAAGAAAAAAAATTTTTTCTTAATATAACATATTCATATTTCTTTGGTTCTCCTATATCAATTTTTTACTACATTTACAAACGGAAAGAATGAGACTTTGCAATTTATGCTCAAAACTTCATGAAATTCTCAACTCAGAAAATATAATTCAATTAACAGTCATTAGTTCTTTCACAGTTGGCTAATATCAATATAATCTTTTTAAAAAATAAAACACCACAAAGCTGTGTATTTCTAAAAATGGATGATCTAGAGGATTAGAAAACTATTTGATAAATCTACCACCATACTGAGATAGTTTTGAGAAAAGAGTCATTTATTAAAACATAGAAGCTTAGTTTTCTTTTAATCTAATAGCTCTACACTATTTTAAATGGTATAAGGAATATTCAACTCAGTTTGAAGATACTTTTGGGACACTGTTTTCTGCTTTCTTTAAGGGACCCTGGTGGTGTAGTGCTTAAGGCATTTGGCTGCTAACCAGAAGGTCAGTGGTTTAAACCCACCAGCTGTTCCATGGAAGAAAGATTGGGCAGTCTACTTCCATAAAGATTTACAGGTTTGGAAACCCAATACGGGTTGCTATGAGTCAGAATCGACTCAATGGCTGTGAGTTTTGTTCTTTTGGTTTATTATAAATTAAGTCCTAGACGTGCAAATAGATTTTCATACTCACACAAGTTACTAAATTTTGAGAAATAAAAACTTCAGTTAAAATAGATTACTTTTGTATATCTATATAAATCAAAAAGATATATAAATGAAGATGTCCAGAAATCATTCTGCTTTTCAACCACAAAGCAGGGAAAACACTAAAAATACATAAAGTTCTTTTAGGCATCAATAAAAAAAAATTATACAGAATATTTAAGAAATGTAAATTCCACTTCAGGTATTATATAATCATTATATCACAAGATTAAAAATATAAAGTCAGAATTACTCTTATTCATAGTACAATTTAAATAACTGAAATGTCAGAAAAATATATTCCCCAGTCAAATCTTTTAGTTAATTATGGGTTCATGACATAAAGCACAGAAATGTTTTAACTTTAACCATTTCAGTCTTAGAGAGCATACCTGATACAACCTTTATTACACATAATTGTTATGAATATTCATTTATAGTATTATATTACAATGGAGTGATACTATAAAATTGCCTTTTAAGTTGTAGGATGTTTAGTCCCATACCAAGTAACTCCAACTATAAAGACTTAAAGTTCTTGCAGCACCTGGTTTTAAAGTTCTTTTCTTTCTTACTGTAAAGTCCTATACTCATAACACTTTCTTTTATAGCATTACGTTTAATAGTCCAACAATAAAAGCTTCACTTACCTTAGGTCTAAAATTAGTGGTTGGGCCCACATACTCATGCTGAGCTTTTACAGTACCCCAAGGATGATAAATTTTAAAGCATTCGTTGCAGTAGCTTGCACTACAGTCCATGCAACTTTTTGTGGATTCTTGAGGTGGTGGTTTGCAAAGGTCACACATAATGGCTGTGGCTGCCCTAGCTGCCTGCCGATATCTTTCCACAATAGTTTCCAAAGTGAAATTTCTAAACAGACCATTGATTCCTCGTTCTCCAAGATCCACATCATGCTCACAGCCAGGGCACGGAAAAGTAGTTGTCCTAGGGGTCAATGAATTGCGCTTCCAGCCTGTGTAATTAGTAAGCCTTGTTTAGTAATATCAGTAGGAAAATGAATAGAATGAAGAAAACAGGAATCAAGTTTTAGAAATAAATGTATTTATAAATATATTCTAAAATCATAATACCCAAAGTAGCTCTATCTGAATAGACAGAGGAAAACATTCTACAGAAAATCTCATATGAAAACCATACACAGATATGAGGATAAAACACATAATACAATACTACACAATGTCAGGATCTTTTGAAATTATATAGCCTTTATGACTATTGTTATAAATTATATCCACAGGAATTTTGGCTGCCATTTAAATGAACACAGCCTTAACTGATTGATAGGAAATAAGCTGATGTGCAAAAATTTGCATCTTATATAGACAAGCATTTTTTTTTTTTTTTTTTTTGTTAGTTTCCTGTCTTCAAATACAGATCTTCTCTCAGTAGTTCTGGTGGAGGCGCATGTTTTCTGTTTTCTTTTTTTTTTTTTTTTTTTTTTTCTTAAATTGTTCCTTTTTTTTTTTTTTTTTTTGGCTAAACAATCCACAGGTTTTATTGATTTTTCAGAGGGACATGTGACCACAAAATTAAGAACCACTGCAATAAAGGGTATCCCACTGTAGTATTGTTTTATCTGGAGAAATTCAGAAAGCAAAAGTGGAGTGTAATCTATAGAAGAGTGAAAAGCTCATTCATAGACCTAGAATTTAATGACTTTAAGGAGGACCAACCATTTATTATCTTCTTATGACCTAAAAAAGAGAATCATTAAGATTACTTAATTCAGTAAGCCAAAAGTTATCCAAAAAAGTATTTCAAATAATTTTTTTATACACATACTCTGAATGACCTTAACATTACAATCTCTGTTCAGTATTATCATTCTGATTTTACCAAATCAAGAAACCAAGGCATGACAATCCTTGCACCACAGTTCACAAGAATCTAGGTTGTCCACTTGACATAGATACATGCATGCAACATTTCTTCCTCTAGTTTACAAATCTATTCTTAGTAATCTCAGTTGCCCACATAATAACTTACTCTAAATATAAACACAGGCTTCTTAATTTACAGCCTTCTTTTCACACTACCGTGTATCAAGTACCAAAGATGAATGGTTAAAGTCAGTATACCACATTTAGAAAAGACCATTGAGTAGCTATATTACCATTGCTTTTGCACACTAATACCATCACTTAAAAGAATGTCTTAAAAGATACGTGGCATGATAGCACTACAGATAAAATTTAGCCATCAGCACATAATATTGCTCACTGACAGTGATTTTATAGTGTGCTAAATAGCAATATGCCCTGCAATTATGCAGCATGCAGAATATTTTTACTATCTTCATTTAAGATATTTTTAACCTTTATATATTTAAACATTATTGCATACAAAAAAAAAGCTGTCCCACAAAAATTTGAAAATCCTACCTAAAATATAGTTTTGTAATAATTTTTAAAACATGCAATATAATCCAAGATGTTTCACATCACAGCAGACATACAATGAAAAAGGCAGCAAAGCTAATTTTAAAACACATGCCAATGAAAATTTCACTTAGTGAAAAAAGAAGCCAAACAATTCTGGAAGTAAGACAGTGCAGTGGTCAAGTTTAAACAAATGGAAATTCATATTTAATTGCATTCTTCCATATGTGAACTAGGGGACAGAAATTAAAATGAATGGATGACTATTCTTACTCAAAGTTTGAAAAATGGGTTATTATTGGTTTAAGAATTAAAAGTTGTAGTCAATTAAATAATGGGATAAAACAAAATAAAATCATGACAATGAAATGTCATGTGGTCTTCAAGTTCAGATGTTTCTGTAAACCTTTTTAAACTTATTTTTAAAATTAAAAAATAAAATGTAAAGCATCAGACTGACCTTCAGTTAGTGAAAATATCAAACCAAGACAAGTGATTAATTTTTCACAAAACTTATTCAAATAGAACCTTGGCTACTTTTCTAAACAGATCTTAAAGCTCTCAAATCTTTCCAATGAATTTTAAACTTTTATTTCATTCTATGTCTTGTATTTCTACCATGGTTTCACGTTTAAGACAGTAAAGAAAACAAGACAGACCTAAGGGTAATTCTGGGAAGTAAACTTAATGAATAAACTCAACTAACTAACCAGCTAGCTAACTAACGCACTGCCGTCGAGTCGGATCCGACTCATAGCAACCCTTTCTTGGGTTTCTGAGGCAGTATCACTATGGAAGTAGGTTGCTCAACCTTCATTCTGAGGAGTGGCTGGTGGGATTGAACCGCCAGCCTTCTGGTTAGCAGTCAAATGGCTTAGGCACTATGCCACCAGAGCCTCTAATAAACTCAACAGCGGAACTAAATAAAATGTAATAGAATCAAGTTTTTACTCTCAACAGATGTGCTAATACAGCAGACATTAACCAAATGTAACTACTTAAATTTAATTAATTAAAATTAAATAAAAATTTAGTTACTCAGCCCCACTAACAATATTTCAAACTCCTAATCGCCAGATATGGCTAGTGGCTACCATACAGAGCAGTGCACAGTTGAATCCATTATAGCAGAAAGTTCTATTGAACAGTTCTGCTCTAAAACATGATATAATGAAAAAGAAAAATAATGATGAAAAATACAGAAGTATGTAGACTAAGCAATGCAAATTTTGTTAAAATGAATTTGTGGGGCCAATAATATTTGCAAATTATTTGAATACTGTCATCTTAGAGAATCAGTTCTTTTCTGCATGTATCTTAACTTCAAAGATAAATTAAACAAGCATGAATTATGACACAATTTAAAAAAGACTCCAAGATAATTTCAAGTCATTTTATAACAAAATCCTCTCCTAAAACTCAGCTTTTAGTCATTTATCATTAAAATATCAAAGAGAAATTATGCATTTCAAAACAGAGGGAAGGAAGCCAATTCATAACTAACAGGTTCCAAACCTCTTAACAGTTACATCCTCTCCCATATTCTGACTGCAAACAACTTCCTCACTGTTAATACCTGGCCAGTTATTAAACTACCTCTCCTCACAATGGACATTCATGTGAACTTCTTGGTATGTGGCAATGAGCTGATAATGTCTCATAATGCCACATTAGTTTCTTTTAATATATTCTGACCATTTGATGCCTATTAGTTACATTAGCACTTATCAACCTGCAAAAACTGTTTTCCTTAGATACTCATAAATCAAAAATGGCTAATAAACAATTAACTTTTCTTTTTTTAAAAAAAAAGAAAACAGCTCCTAACCCTCTAACTAATTACTGAATTTTTACACTTAAAATTCTCAGGGACTCTCCAAAGTTTGTAAGAAAAAGGATTACATGTGGCTCCTAAAAGTGGCTAGATTTTCATATCAAGGAATACAGAAAAATGTGAGGAAGACTGAAAAGGGCTAACATCTCAAGTGTCATTATTCTCAAATAAAGTATAGGATATCACCAATATTTTACAAAAATAACAATTTTACTTTAAAGGTCAACTGGATTAAAACTTACACAATTATGTTATTACAAAAATTTTCAATACTTTTCATCAAATTTTTAAATATGTAACAAAGTAGTACTAGCTTACACCTCCCCACCTCAAGGTAGCAACATGGCTTTAAAGATATCTATTTAGAAGAATAAAAGGGGTAATTAATGTATGTCATTTTCTTCAAAAATACCTTGCCTTGAATATTGATAAAATGCAAGCACTAATTATCAGTGCTCTCCTTAAAAAAAATGCAGAACTCACTAGGAAATTTAGTCCTGTTGACCTTTAAGTCATTTCAGTCCAATTTGTTTATTTTCTACTTAATTTTGGATACTTGACCACTGATGTTTAAGAATCTTATCTAATCAGGGTTATTTAATTTAAATCTAAAATTATACTGCCTGCGGCCACACAAGCAATAAAGCGTTTTCTACCTCTCCACCCCAAAGATCTCCAATGGGTTACTGTGAACAATGAACAGAAAAGCTGGATTTAGAATTTAAACTCAAAGGGAAGAGTCACAACTTGTTAACAAATGATAAAGCCGTAACTGTATCCTGCACATAATACTATTATTGAATTAACAGTTAAAAAAAAAAAAAAAAAGTGTTTTTCCTGGTACACATGGTATCTTTAAACTTACCAATATAAAATATTTATCAAGCTATTTCATTAGAGTTCAGAATTAATCATTGTTGGTGCAGCATTTAAGAAATTTATACTTTGTCTTGTTGATTTGTATTTTTTAGACAATAATATTTCTGGTAAATGTTGGAAATACAAAGTAAAAGTACGTCTTTTATTGAACTTATTGCTCTAAATTCACACTGTAAATTAACATTGCAAAAGTTGAATATATCTTGCAGACCACAAGAAATCAAAATGGGGAAAACTTGTACATGTATCATCAAAAGTATACAGTAATAGGACTATTTTACTTTTACATGATTTAATGGGCTATTGGGTTATACCCACAAACCAAACTCTCCTTTAAAGAGACCCTTTTATTTTAAAATTCTGTTAAATGTTTAATGTAATACTACGAATAGAAATATGCGGGACAAAATAGCAAGGCACACATGTAACTTTGAATTTTCTAGTAGCCACTTTAAAAAGGTAAAAAGAAATCTTTGACGTGTATTTTAATAACATCATTTAACGCAACATATCCAAAAGATGTGATCAATATAAATTTAAGAGATTTTTCTTTTTTTTCATTTTGTCTTCAAAATCAACACATTCACAGCACATCTCAATTATGACTAGTCATATTTCAACTGCTCAACTGTCAATGTGAGTAGTGATTACTGAACTGGGTAGTTCAGGGCTAATGAATTCCCTTATTAAAACAATGGCAAAACTAATTTTTTTTAACTCTATTCCTCTCATACAAATTTCTCACAATTGGATTTCCGGTGTCCTTCTCAACTATGTCTAAGTGATTTAAAAAAAAAAATTCAGGAAAAAAAAGGGAAATTTACTTATCCATGAATCTGTTGTTGAATCAATCCAAAGAAC